GAAATTGTACTAGAAGAGTGCTGCTGGGCTATCTGGAACCTGATTTAGACCTAGCCAGAGCATTAACATAAACGCCGACAGCGTATAGTGCGACAACCAACAGATATACGAGTCAAGTGACAAACTGCATTCACATGGGTCCTTAACAGCTCTTCTCGGCCCTACATAGGCAGATACATGGCCAGAAAACGCTTTTCGTTTTTAGAAAGCAAGCCTTTTATATGTTAGCTACACATTATTTATACTCCCTTCTATTGAAAAGCCCTTAAGCCAAAACATTTACATTATAAGATAGTTACTTTAAGCAAGGATTTCATACCTACTTATATTGTAGCCATGATTTGTAAAAACAATTTCGGACTAAATTTAAATCTAAAATATAAAATTATTATTACACATGTGATGGATTCTTGAGCATGCTTTTAAATACAATTTTGTTAGGTTAGGTTTTCATATCTCATTTCATTATCATGATTATTCCGGTTAATATTAGGTGAGATTTTTTTATTGGTGGAATTATTGTGATGGATTCTTGAGTATGTTTTTAATTACAATTTTTTTGGTAAGGTTTTCATATCTAATTTCATTATCATTGAGATTAGGTGGGATTTTTTTATTTGTGGAATTTGTCTGCATTTCCATAAATTCTTAACAGACAAATGGTAGGATTTCATTGACCAGGTGTGGTTCCTTTGAATTCTTATTGTCATCTGGAACACTGCTTCGATTTGGGCAAGCTGGGAACCCTACAGTCGATATTCTACATCTCCAGAAGTTGCACCGATTGTGAATCAGAGACTGACTCTTATAGTAAATAAACAGAAATTAAACAAGACTACCCTTTTCTTATCTACAAATGAGTCTTCTTTACAGAGTGCAATTGATTCTTCATGTTGCTTCCAAAATCGTGGCGGGAACACACATTTCCATTCATTTTTCCCAACCACGTATACTCACTGTGATGACTGTGCACTTTTTTGGTTTTTGAAACTGATAAGGAAATACGAATACAGCTCTATTCCAAAGAGGTTCCGTTTGGTATCGATGGTTTAAACCATTTCGTCGTGCAACACACATTCTGCCTGCTGCCCTACCTCTTCACGCCCCTTACTCCTTGCCCCTCCTTGTCCACTCCTCCCCAATAGAGCTCCTGCTGCTTCCTGTCGTGTTGCTGTTGCTGCTGTTTTTCGGTCGCTGTGCTGACTGATTTTCCTTTTATTTTCCTTTGCGCGAGCTGTGTTGAATATATATGTTTGTATGTATATATTTTTTTTCTATCGCTGCCGCTGTCGTCGTCGCCGCCGCCGCCGCGCCGTCGCTGCTGCTGCTACCGATGCCACTGCCGCTGCTGCTGCTGCCACTGCTGCTGCTTCACATTTCATGCTGCACACACATATACATTCCTCAGTACTTGAAGCGCCTCCGGAAGTGATGGTTTTCGTGTGCGATTCTCTCGCTTTTGCAACAAAACTTTGACGCGCGCCTCTGCTGCGTGTCGTGTTTGTGTGCCTGCGCCAGTGTGCGTGTCTAGATACTTTCATAAACGCAGGCAGGCCGCAGTTAGTCACTCCAGCAGTCCAACAGTCCAATAGTCAAACAGCCCAACAGTCAGCCAGGCAGTCAGTCCATCGGGCGACCTAAAAAATTTCATTTCATTTATTTACTCTTGTCGCAGTTGAAAGAAAGACAAAACAGCTCAATGCGCAGCAAAAGATACGCCAGCCAATTTAGCGATTATGGCTGCTTGCGTGGTGGAAAATCGGTGAGTGTGAAACATATAAAAAAAAAACAGAAAACAATGTAAATGATGAAAAAGTGCTCGAAGAAACAGAAGAAAACAGAAGCAAAATATTACACAAAAAGCAGAGGAAGAAAGAGCAGAGCAGACAAAACAAAACAAAGCGCTTATAAAAAAGTTGCAAATGTTTCTTGCGACTAACTCTATTAGACGAAGCAACAAAGTGAACAGGGAAATTAAAGTCAGCAATAAGTGTGTAGTGTTGTAGATGGGTTGGGAGGGGAGGGTTGGGGAATGCGGAGAGCGGCCAACTGACCAGCACTGGTAACTTTGCTGCTGCAATAAAATTTTCATTGTGGTGACCCGCAACACAGCAGCAACAACAGCGACACATGCGCGCGCTCTCTTAATGTGCTCCGTGCTCTCAATACTCGCTCTTCTACTCTCGCCCACTTTTAGCGCCACTCGTCGCTCGCCCAAATACAATATATTGAGAGCTTTTTTCGATTGCTGTTGATGTTGCTGTTACTGCCCTCTGTATTCTGTTCGCCTGCTACTTTCTGTAGACTGCAGCGTCATTGCAGCAGCGCCAATATTAACGCCAACGCCAGCTGGTGTCGAAAAGCAGCAACAGCACCATCACCAGCAGTTACAGCAGCCGATACAACACTCGAGTCAGGCAGTCAGTCCGTCAACTAGTCGAAGTCTATTTGCCATATCATTGCGCCAACGGAAAAAAAAACTAAGATTCCTAACAACATCATCTCATCATCATCAACAACAGAAACGGCAACAGCGATGGCATTAAAATGTATCATAAAAATTTCTTTGCACAAATGCGAAACGACACACATACTCGCATACAAAAAAGTTGAAAAGGCCAGCAAAACGTGCGGCACGAGCAACACAACCGAATCCCCCACAAAAGCAACAAACTTCAACACATATTTAAAGATTTTTCATTTGTACAGTGAAACCCCACTAAAGAATACTGCATTTATGCAAGTAGTTGAGGCTCAGACTGTCTGCTTTGAAGATGCCAGATTCAAATTTAAAGAGGCATCCATTACTCTTCTTACATGAGTAACGTTAGTGTGTCCTTTCTTCATTTGGGGAGAGGGAAATTCTATAATAAACAAAATGTGCCGCAAATTAAAAATAATAGTAATAATAAAAATAGGAATTATTAATTTTACAAAGTTCGGCAATATCGTTACTTTACTGTAATCCATTAACAGCGTTCAATGATTGTGAATAACAGAGAGACAGAATTAGTATTGTGGTGAGAAGTGGGCAAGAGCGCCAGCTCTTTCGGTAGCCCCCATTACTCGTTACTCTTTATGCCTCTGTGTTGTTGTTATTGCTGGTCGCATTGTTTTTAATTTGCCGCTTGGGGGCGCTAATTAGTAATGTGGTTGATTTAAATGATTTACATACTGAAATGTTACTTATATATGTACATATGTATGTACATGTGTATGCAAGTAATTACATGCGCAATAACAGAAGCAACACAACTGCAACTACACACATACTTCATACATATGTGAAAAGAAATCGTTGAATGATAAAAAGTCACACGCATACATACATACATACATACATAGTACATATTTCAATTATTCAGTGCGGTTGCTTACATTGCTAGCTAATGCTGGTGAGTGAATTCAATTTTATGTGTGCTATTTTTAAGTGCGTTGTCAATTTGTTAGTGTCGTAAAAATTTACTCGCTAATTTCGCTAATCGTTGTTGCTATTTGCTTTTCCCTTTTTGCTATTGCTGAACGGCCACAATCGTTCCATACATGCTTCCAACACACACACACACTTGCTAACATACATATGTATGTATGTACGTACATATGTTGTGTTTTTTTTTCTTGTTTTTTTTTTGCAACAACAGAAAAAACAATTGGGGGCAGCAGCTGCCTGCTCGTATTTTCTCAACACCCAGCACTTGGCATACGTAAAAACACAAAAACAAAATTTCTTCATAAACCGTGTGTAGGTAAATTATCGTCCTAACTAAGCAGAAGATATGGACAACACATATCGAAGTGTTATGAATTGTTGTAATTGCTGTTGTCGGCGGATATACATATTTGTCAAATAAATATAAGAGTGCGGCCTACAACAGCCGCCATCGCAACAGCAAGAACAACAACAACAAAGATCAACCACTTGCTGTGGTAAAAAAAAAACAACAAATTATGGCACATTAAGAGAACTAGAATACGGAAAAAGTGAGAGCGATATCATGCTCCATTGAGGGCAGGGTTGCCAGCCCAGTGCAATAATAACAAATTTAAACACACTTTTTTTTTAAAATCGAATTAAATGAATAAGGTAAAATTACTAACGACAGTGAGAGGCCAAGTTCCAATATTATTAAAATCTAAATTATGGTTAAATTCAAAAATCATCTATAAAAATATTGTACAAATGACAAGAGTAGAATAAACTGAATGTCATATTTCAAGATTTTAAATTGCTTTACTTTTTGCTGGCTGGTAACCCTAATTGGCCCCCACATAACTTGTTCTCTTGGGTCCACCAAGCTCTCTCTCTTTTCTCTCTCTTGCAACACACACACACACACACACATAGAAGTGGTGCATTGTCGAGCGAGTGACAAGCTCTCGCTGTCTGCTTGCTGCCTGATGACGTCGCCTGCCTGCTTCGGCGCCTGGTTGCCTGTTAAATTGGCGGTTACACGCGCGCGTCAGGTACGCCAAACGCCGGCCGTATACGCTCCGTTGGACGGTTGTGCGTTTATTCGTTGGTTTGTTAGACCGGCCCGACAAACTTTGCGCTTGACGGTCACACAGTGGCTTAGGTAGGTGGCGTTGCGATTGCTTTCGTTCTTGTTATTGTTGTTGCTGGCGGCGGCATGTGCAACGGTCGAGCAGTCGGTGTGATTATTTTCATTTCGTTTGTGGTGTTGGCATTGGTGTTGTTGCTGCTGTTATCATGAGTGCGAGCAAGTTTATCGATTTTTCTACAACATCAACAGTACTATACACTCATACTCTTGCCACAGTCTCAAATTCAAGCTCTCATTCTCTTTCGCTCGCTTACTCTCTTTGTCGTGTGACTAGTCACGATTTACAAAACTTGTATGCTGTCTGCCTTATTTAGCTGTGCGCCTGTTCTTTCCCTCGAATATCGAATCTCGATTTCGATGAGATTTTGTTACTACTACTGCTCAACATTTTAGCTTAAGCTTTAGTTTTTTGTTCATCTCTTATTTAATGAGAGTGTGTGTATTTCAAATTATTTATTTATTATAAAGATTACGATTTTTGCTTTCTTTACGCGCACGGCTTAAATAATAAAAATGCTGACTGGACGCCGACGACAACAACGATTCGCTGCCATTGTTGTCGGCTGGTGGCAGTCGCTAAGTAGTAGTTTAAATGTCGTCTCGTCTCGTCGTCTGGTCTCGGGTCTCGCTATATCTGCCGACCTGACAACTCTCGACTCGCCTGACTCTGTTGAATTCATTATAAATGAACAAAAAAAATGTATATACATATGTATGTACTTACATATACACAAGAAAGAAAAAAAATGTCGGTCGTTGCACGCGCAGCTCACTAACTTACTCACTCGCTCACCTTCACCACAACAATTCACCACACATACATACATGTGTATGTACGTACCAATATACATATGTATAGCAACATATGTATGTATGTATGTTGCCCGCCGCTAGATTTCATTATTTACCATATTTAATTCTATTTAAATGAAAATGAACTGAAACCGATTACAATTGCTGCGAGCCAACACCCCCCCACCCAGAACATGCCAGAGCAGGCTAGACCTCCATACCCGTCGCTCAACCAGCAGCCAGTCGGGAGTCAGTCAGTCAGTCAGCTGCAGCAGTCGGGCAGCAACTGAAAACAGCGTTTCCAATGTTTAAATGATAACAGGCAGTAGACGACGACCGACAACCGACTACGTCAACGAATCCCAACAGTCAACATTTCACCAACAACAACAACACCAGGCGCCAGGGTTGTCCATTTAGCGTCAAAACAAGCTAGAAATACCTAAACATATTAGAATGTTAATATAAAGCGGATTTTTCAATTCCATAAGGAAAGTAAGCAGTCTAGCTTTCATGTTATTGATGGAAGAAAACTATGTTCCAATGAGCCTCACATTTATTTATAAAAATTTATTATTCGACCCATACTATTACAACACACATATATTTATGTACATATTACAATATGCATATACATATGTATGTATGTATGAAAGCAATATCTTCATAAACTAGAAATATATAGTAGACTCTTTTAATTCCGCCATTATTTCGACGATTACTGCGTGATATATGTATATGTATTGATCTGATTTGGTCGGTCTTGCGTTTCAGTTTCATTCTACTATGCTTCCTCCTCTGAGTTACAAATTCTCTTGCAAATGTACATAAAATCATGGGAGTGTAAATGGCATTGGCTTCTCAAAAACTCCAGAACTGACGGGAAAATAGCTAAATTGGCAGCACTGCTGACAAACCAACTACGTCAACGAACCCCAACAGTCAACATTTCACCAACAACAACAGCAACAGCACTAGACACTCAACAGTCAAGTGCTTGCCCAGCAGCAGCCAAAGCAGCGTGTGAAAAATTGTGATACACACATACACGCACGCATCAAGTCGCACACGTTCGTGCTTTAATGCCTCTTGTGAAAAAACGAGCAAAAAAATTGCAAAGCTCTCAAAGTGCGCGCGCCCCCAAGCAACAACAACAGAAGCAGCAGCAGAAGAAGAGGGTGAAGCGTGAGCGCCAACAACAACAGCGATGAAGCATGTTGAATGAACAACCGAACGAACGAATGGACACACACGAACTGAAACGAACACAAATCCGAAACCAGAACACATGATTAGCCTAGTAAACCGATAGATACGCTGAGCAAGCAAACGTCTGTGGTGTGAGAGTGCGGGCAAGTAACCGCATGCTGAGCGAAGCTTTTGGCTCTCACTCGTTGGCTGGCTGGCTCGCTCTCTCGCTGGCCCCCCAATTCTCCATTCATCAACCTACTCTCTTAGTCGGTGGCTCTCTTTTAACACTCCTAGGCTTGTTGTGTGAGTAATTGAAAACCGGTTGCACTGTTTACCGACATTTTCCGCTAGGGCTGTTGTGACGATGCACAGTGCTTTCAATTTGTTCGTCTTAATAACAAAATGAATAAAAATAAATAAAAAATATGTTAACATATTTACATATTTGAATGAATCAGCAATCAAAATGGTTTTTGAATTTAAGCACCCACTTACATAAGTTTTTCCTTAAAGAGCATTTAAATTTCCTTCCATGCATATCTGTAGCATGTGTTTTAATAAAAAGGTCTAACTAAAGCATTTTCAACCTTCAACCTTACTATTTATTTAATATACTTGTAGTTATCATGAACACGATATTTTTTGTTTTATTCTAGCTTAAGACTAGCTTACGTTTGTTTTTATGAGATTTTGCCAAACCGTTTATCACTATAAGTAGTATTGACAATTTGACAATTTTATCTTATTACAATCAAACACTTTTTCAAAATATCATCAATACTTTGAAGACTGTCCAAATACATATATTAAAGTTAGCCACCACTGTGCGATGGCTTACAGCCCAAGTGCGAGGGCCGGGAAGTGTTGGTGTCGTATCGGTTTTTATAACTGAGGCGACGACAACATAGCAAAAAAAAGAGAAAAAAATAAGAAAAAGACAATGGCAGGAGAGCAAGAAGCAGGCAGCAAGCATAGGAAGGTCGTCGTGGTTGCTTGCCGAACACTTGTGTTTGGGTGTGTGTGTGTGTATGTTCGTGCATTCGGGCAACTTCGGCTACGTCTGTGAGGCCGTGCGTGTGTGTGTGTCAAGCCAACAGAGCAACCAGCCATAACCGGAAGGTCGCCTTTACCACAACATTTATTATGGAAAATCGCGTAATCACTGTCGTATCACTTTTTTTTCTGCTTCACTGTCTGTGTGTATGGGAGACTGTGACTGCGACTGCGACTGTGTGTGTGTGTGTGTGTGTGTGCGTGAGTGAGTGAGTGCAAGTACTCGTTGTTTTTCGATGTTAAGTTTTATTTTTAGCTGCAGACAACGTCGTTTTATAAGTAGTAAGCCGTCGCAGTTTGCTCGCTGGTTCGCTTCAAACTTGTTGCAAGTTGTTTTTGGTTGGCTAACGTGTTTGATTGCCATGTATTAGCTTAAATGATTTAAGCAGCCCACACAGGAAACAAACCAAACAAAGCCCACCACTCACTAAATTCCCCTCAATCCGAACACAAACACTTGCATGTGTATGTGTTCATACATATGTATAGTATATATGTATGTATGCACGTAGATACAATTTGATTAAAGCGCTTGAGTTAGAGGCGTGTGCTTTTTTGCCATTTAGACAGTGGCTATTAAATTTGTTTCTTATGATTGGATGAAAACTTAATTTTTGCGCCAGTGCTGCCTAATTTTAAATTTATGGCCAAAAGCATGATAAAGTCTCTATGAATAATTTACTGCATTAACATATGTACATAGTGTTGTTTAATTAAAGTTAGCATTACTATTTATAATGGATATTGGTAACTGATAGTCAAATGAATTATATTCAATTGTAGAATATCTGAACACAAAAGTAGGTCGGCAGCTTGAATATTAAAGTCTAAATTCGAGAATACGTTTTCGAAACTCATTTCTGGACCTAATTTTAAGAACATGAATCGAAATTCCAAAGACTTTCGTAAAATGATCACAAATAAATAAATATTGACTTAAAGTTTCCAAGAGATTTGCGTGAAAGCCGTTCGTTATGTAAGCGTTTTTAATTCAGTTTCCACAACATTTCATTATCGGAAGATTAAAATATTAAAGCTAGTACGTGTTTGGCTTTAGGGCAGCATTTTCAGTTTGTGGCACAAGAATTTGTGAAAATATGTTATTTATTTATTTTTTTGGTACTCACGCATTTTCTACAAAGCTTTCGCATTCGCGCATCTTTTTTTCGGGGGTGGTTGGTTGTTTGGTTGGGTTCCAGGGCGGGAATGGTTCAAATTGGTGGGTTGGGGTGGTGTTGTGGGGGTCGAGGTGTCACTGTTGAATTTGTCGGGTCGTCGTGTCGTATCAGAGTGTCGGGCGCTGCGCTTCGGCTGCTGCCGCTGTAGCTGCCATCGCTGGCATCGCTGCCAATGCGCCACTTTCCACTTTTAGTTGTTGTTAACAATTTGCATGCCGTGAGCTTTGTGCTCTTTGATTTCACCTTGCTAAAAACTTCCAGCCGGGCCAGTCGCGCCAGCCAGTGAGCCAGTAAGGCTGGCTGTCAAGTAGGCAGGAAGGCAGCCTGTCGCTGTTGTAGTGACAGTCCTCCCCCCAAACCAACCACCCACCCACACACATAAATGCCTTACTAACAGATTTCCAATGCATATTATCGCTGCGTTTTGTCGCCTTGCCTGACGCTCTGGGGGTTGCTCAGTTCGGGGGCTCGGCTCCGGCTCCGGCTCGAGCTACAACTTTCCCAGGGGTCCGGGTTGGCACAATGCGCTCTAGAGCTCACAAGCCCAAAAATATACTAGACAGTGGACAAACACTACGAGTGAAGTAATTAGCACGTCCATACAAATACAATTTGAAGGGAATGGTCAGACAGGCAAATAATTTGCACTCAAGCTTGGTCAAATAAAATTCAGTAAGCATTGTATATTAAAATATAGTTTACAAGCCACAAACAAATTCGCAAACTAACACAAATTGTTGTGCAAATTATTTGCATGTCTGACCGTAGCCTTGGCATGATAATAGACGTGCCGTCTAATCAACAAATAGAGCGTCGATGTGGTGGAATATTAAGTTGCTAAGCAACTCCTTTGTCGATCAATGCCTAATACTATATAGCCATAAAAGAAAGTTTCCTCGCTAATTACTTTTCTCTTACTGTTTTATGAAATGATGAGTTCTCTTCATGCTATTTCTTTCTTAGATGCTTCTTCACTGCTCTCGTAATGCAGAAAAAACGTTAGATTTTTGGTATTACTCGCGCTTTATTTTCAAAAGAATGTCTGATTTCTGAGGCAAAACCCTAGTCGAAGTTTTCAGGACTAATCTAACAGCAAGCCCTAAATTGTATCGAAGAAGACGAAAGTTCTTAGCGACTACATTTAAGCAGAAAGGATCCCTACAAAGGATTAAGTACAGCTATCGGTATAAGCATTAGAAGCAGTTCGGGCTCCCTAAAGAAAACATAAACCTAATGCAGTCCAGGTGAATATTTTCTTACCAGAGTATTCGACCAGCTTTGTAAAATATTGGAGGAAGTCATGCGGAAGAAAAACGTCTTTGTTCTGTCTTCCCAAAACAAACGAGCAAGAAAAGGAGGGTAAATCGATTAAATGACCATAAGAAGTTAGACGCATGTTTTAGTTTATGCAGAGTATTGGTTTTTTCTTTGTAATAATTTCATCGAAAAACTGCAAAGTTCTTTTATTTGATCATTATTTGAAAGTAGAGCGAACAAGAGAGGTATATAAGATTATATATTTTGGGCAACGGCACCCAGAGGGTAAAACGGTAAAAGAAGGAGGCGTCACAGACCCCAAAAAGTATATACATATATATATATATATATTATTATAAGTATTATATACCTTCTATATTATATTTATATTTCTAGGAAAAGCAATTAATTGTTGTTACTCGTCGTACAGGGTTTTAAAAAATACATTTCGGACTAAATTTATTGCTCAGTTATTCCGATAATAGGAGTTATGTTAGACTGGATCAGTGGCAACAAAACACCAATAAATCTCAGTAGCGTCTCATCCAAATCATTTAGTATTATCAGATTCCA